GCCTGGGCTACCAAGTGAGTTCCAGGAAAGGCACAAAGCTACACAGAGAAACCCTGTCTCGAAAAACCAAAAAAAAAAAAAAAAAAAAAGAAAAACAAAACAAAAAAACAAAGAAGTTAGTGTAACAATTACCTCCAACACCATCAAACACAGCTTTCCTTGTTTGGGTATTGTTATGGTGTTGTGGGCTTTGTTTGGCCTTTGCTGTGTGTCATAATCAATCACCGCAGTTCTTACTGATGCTCCAATCATCTCTAATCTGCCTGGTGGAAGCACTCCTCACAAAGGCTCATTTTTATCACATCCTCTTATTACTCTGAGCAGTTCTCTCCCTTCTGCTGCAACGTGTGTCTTAGCCTCACTTTGTGTTTTCTGTGACACAGCTAACTTGGAGGTGGTTATTGCTTCTAGGAATTTACTCTCATGAGGAGTGGCGTTGGCAACCAAGAACCGACGCTTGCTGCTTACAGGGTGCCATTTCATCCGTGTCAATGGGCAAAGCTGGGAAACGCATCTTTAAAATGCATGAGCTCAAGCCTGGGCAGATGGCTCAGTAATTAAAATGCTTGCCAGGCAAGCAGGGAGACCCAAGTTCAAATTCCCAGCATTCACATAACTAGTGGGACGTGTAAGTTTATACCTGTAGTCCCAGCACTAGGGAGGCAGAGACAGGAGGCTCCCTATAACTTGCTGGCCACCTAGTCTAGCTGAATCAGCGAGAGACAGTCTCAAAAATTAGGAGGGAACGGGACTGAAGAGGACACCTGATGTCTACCTCTGACTTCCATGTACACATAAACACAGATGTACACAAGCTCATGCACGTACAAAATTACTTTATGTTGATGAGTACAAAATTCACCTAATGCCATATGGCAGGATAGCATGCCTCTGGTATCAGCTACCAGGAACCTGAGGAAGGAAGGTCCCACCATGTGGCTTCCAGGGACCAAACTTAAGTCATCACACTTGGTGTCAAGCACCTTTATAGACTGAGCTGTCCTTTCTTTGTTTAAATCACACTTCTTCGGAACAACCAGTGAATAAAACTGGGAAAAACAAACAAGGTCAATGGGGGAAAATACACAATTGTACAGAAGACTGGTTTCTATTTTATGTTCCTTGTTTAAACTTACCGAGAAGAATCTGGAAGACCCTATCCACAAAGCTGTCAAGTGATAATTTAGTGTATTTCAGTCTTTGCAAGGAATTTATAAATGCTACTTGGAAATGATTTGTAAATGCTATTTAGAAATAAGAGACAAAAGAGTCACAACTACACTTTCAAACTTGGTCACGAAACAACGTTTGACAGCTTCGCGAGAGTGATTTGTTCCAGGCTGGGGTACACAGTCCTGGCAACTTGCTGAGGGGAAGACAGGAGAGTGGAGAGAGAAGCCTCCACCGTGGCTAGAGCGGCCCCGTCGGCGACAGGAACTTCCGGGGTGGGGCCCGTCCAGTGCTTCCCCATGGGGAATGTGGCCTTTCAACGCTGCTGAGATCGGCAGTCGCTTGGCCGCCACTTCCGTTACTTTGAGACGGTTCCTGAGGCTTGGGGTGACCATGGCCAAGAGCAAGTTTGAGTACGTGCGGGACTTTGAGGCTGACGATACCTGCTTGCCACACTGCTGGGTCGTGGTGCGGCTGGACGGCCGGAATTTCCACCGGTGAGCTGATGGGGCGGGAGACCGCGTGCGGCGCCTGCACTTCCGGGAAATGCGCGGCTCCCAGTTACTGGGGTAACGCAGCAGCCAATGAGCACTCAGCATTGAGCGTCACCGGAAGGGCTTGCTACGGTCGGTCAGAATTTGCTGCCCCCTGGCTGGGATACTTAAAAGAAGCCAGATAGTGTAATTAGTGAAGAGCCTGTGCTACTTAAGTAGAAACCAGTTTGCAAGAAATTTGTCGGGGAGAAAAGTCACTTCCCGGGCCACTACTTAAACTTCAGCCAAGTGTGCAACCCTTCTGTTTTCTTTGAGGGCTGACTGTTGAGAGGCCTGCGTAAGCCTAGCTGTGGGCAGGAGTTGATAGTCTATCCCTTTCTCATTGTCAGCTTCCTATTACACGGACTGACTGCACTATAGTCAGTGGGAGAGAGACAAAGTAAACCGATGGGGACTTAGTTTCAATAAAGTGTTACGTTATTGCTAGTTACTATTATTTTCTAACTGTGTAAGTCCATATAGCTATATGTGTACCAAGCACTTAATAAGAGCCAGGCATAATTACATCTTGATCTCCTAATCATCAGGACTATGATTAATGATATGATTAATCATCAGGACATAAGGTAACATCCTCTACCCAGTAAGGTGAACGTCCCAGGAAAGTGAATTGAAGCCCAGCAGTTGTATCCCTTTTTGTCAATTGGTCAAAAGCAAGAAAGAAAAACTTGCAAATTTTTTCGTGTGCTTATTTGTATGTAAGTGTGTGGTCAGTTTTTGGGTGTCACTCCTTATACCTGCCCACCTTGTCTTTTTTGAGACAAGGTCTCTCATGAAACATCCTTAGAACTCACCGAGCCTGGTGGTCATCTAGTCCCAGGAATCCTCTTGTCTCCACCTCCCCAGCATTGGGATCACAAGTGGGTGCCAGAAACACCGCCCCCTTTTATGATTCAGGGATGGAACTTGGTCTTCATATTTATAAGACAGTTTACCTGCTGAGCTATTTCTCCATCTCTGCTGCAGTTCTCAAGGAAACATGTTAAGCTGTAGCTAGCAGCATGCTTGCAGCATCATCCTCTCTTAAGTGCTCTGTGAACTGATGTGGTAATGACAGACTCTCCACCGTCTGTGCCCTTCTCTTTCTTCAATGAAGGTTTGCTGAGAAGCACAACTTTGCAAAACCTAACGACAGTCGGGCTCTCAATCTGATGACCAAATGTGCCCAGACAGTAATGGAGGAGCTGGAGGACATTGTGATTGCATATGGACAGAGTGATGAGTATAGCTTTGTGTTCAGGCAGAAAAGCAATTGGTTTAAAAGAAGAGCCAGGTGGGTTTCAAAGCCAGCCCTCCATTAGGGTGTTCTTTCTCCTGTTCTCTGCTCTTCTGTTTATCTTGATAACAGCTGAGAGCTTAATATTTCAGGTGATGTTGCATCTACAGAGTGCACATTTTCTCTTTTGGCTGTTTCCTTCAATTGAGGTCTGAGCATTCTTGTGCTATCTTTTTTTTTTTCAGATGCTTTCTTTATCTGATTCTTTCCCATCTGTATCCCATCAATCCAGCTCCCTGGCTGACTTACATTGACTATTTAGACTGTAAACAGAGAGTAGAAAAAGAGAGAATTAGTGATTCATAGGTAGCTTGGCCAGTGTCATTTTTTTTCCATGCATTGAAGTATTATTTAAACTTTTAACTAAGAAGATAAATTTGATATTTAATTTGGTAGTATGTTGAAACTCTTAGAGGAATCAAATTATATGATGAATTGGTATGTTTTTGAAATATTGGTTCCTTTTCTTCCAAGACTGAAAACAATACCAAAACCCCAAAAGAAAAACAACAAAATCTTGAACCATAAATTTATACTACATCCTATGGAGGAAAATTTGGAGTGTGCTGGATAGTTTTATGTCAATTTTCTCCAAGCTTAAGGCCTCCCAGAAGGAACCTCACTTAAGAAAATGCCTCCAGAAGATCCAGCTGTAGGCAAGCCTGTCAGGCATTTTCTTAGTTAGTGATTGATAGAGGAAGAAACAGATCATGTGGGTGGTGCCATCCCTGGGCTGGTGGTCCTGGGTTCTGTAAGAAAGCAGGCTGAACAAGCCATGGTGAGAAAGCCAGTAAGCAGCACCACTCCATGGCCTTTGCGTCAGCCCCTGCCTCCAGGCTCCTGCTCTGCATGGGTTCCTGTCCTGACTTCCTTCGATGATGAACAGTGATATGGAAGTGTAAGCCAAATAAACCCATTCCTGCCCAAGTTGCATTTGGTCATGGTGTTTCATTGCAGTAATAGTAACCCTGACCAAGACAGTGAGTAACTTACGTAGAGACAGGCCACATTCAAAACATGCAGCCAGAATGTTGAAAGTTCGTCTTAGCTGAATATCTTTTATCTTCTGGCTGCTTGGACAGTTTGTGTAATTTCTCTGTTGCATCCACAGGTCCTATCTTGGTGTCGAATTAATATCAAACACTTTCTCTTCCCTTCTCCTACCCAACCTGCCTTGCCTTTGCAAGTAAGTTCATGACTCTCGTGGCCTCCCAGTTCGCCTCCAGTTATGTGTTTTATTGGCCGGATTACTTTGAGGACCAGCCCCTTCTGTATCCCCCAGGATTTGATGGAAGAGTCGTGTTGTATCCTAGCAACCAGACCTTGAAGGACTACCTCAGTTGGCGGCAGGCAGACTGTAAGTGGCATGATGGACACAGTTCAAGTCACACACCAAATCTGTACATTAGAGCTGTGGATCTGATACAAGTTGGGCTCATTGATATGTTGTTTGGAGCCAAGCATTTAAAAAAAAGGGGTGGGGGGTTCTCTTCATAGTCTTTCTCTATAGCCCAGGCTGACTTCAAATCCTGCCTCAGCTCTAAAAGGCCTGTGTAATAGTGTGTGTGCCACCACACCCAGCTCGCTCTCATATACTAGTTAACAATATTTGCAAAGTTAGGTGATTTTACAGGAAAATGACCTGTAGTTGTTTGTACTCTGTGTGTGTGTGTGCAAATGAATGTTTCTATGTGATGTATGTGTGCATGCATGTGCTTACATGTGCTTGCCTCTACAAGTGTTGTAGAGCCAGAGGAGGAAGTGGGATGTCCTGCTCTGTCACTCTGCTCTGCCTTATTCCTGGAGCAAGTCTGGCAGCCAGCACGCCCAGAGATCCTCCTTATCTCCAACAGCTCTGGGGTTCCAGGTACATGTAGCTGTGCCCAAACTCAGGTCCTCTGGCTTGCACAGTAAGAACTCTTACCCATTTAGCCATTTCTCCAGCTCCTGTTTGCTTTTTAAAATCTAAAGATAAGGCAGTCTTGCATTTCCACGCAGTTTATGCAGAGCCTGTGTGGTGGCGGCTCCTTTTTTGCTTTGAAACACAAACTCACAGAGACACACACATGAAATAGTATGAATCCGGTAGCTTGAAAAATGTTTCTAGAATGAACACTTAAGTCAACATATTTGCATAAGGCTTTACTGAAATGACCACTTGAAGCTGGCTTTAGGAAATACGTTTTACATGCCTAGCCCTTTGCCCATCTGTTCCCTGTGTAGGCAGACTGGGCAAGCCACTGAACGTCTCTGAGATCTGTGTACTCTAAAGTGGAGAGAAGCTGGGTTGTGGGTTCCTGGAAGCATAAATAGTCTATATATAAAACAAAGTATATATACTATAATACATAATAATATATGTTTATATATAACTATGATTCAGTATATATATAAATGTTATTTTGTTTTCCTCACAGGTCACATCAATAATCTTTATAATACAGTTTTCTGGGCCCTTATCCAGCAGTCTGGACTAACACCAGTCCAAGCCCAGGAGAGATTAAAGGTATAAAGATCCTATGACAGAAACACAGCTGGTTTCTCATAACATTTCTGGAATGTTCTCTGTGGTTCCTTAGCTTTCTTTACAGGTCCATTTTGAAAGGCTATAGAGATCTCGGTGGCAGAAGCTCTTGCCTTGCTTGCTGTCAGTAGGGATGGATTATTACTCCCCCTGGGCTGCTGTGACAGCATGCTTACACTTGGCTCCCCTCTTTAACTGGTGCACGCGCTCCTCTCCTTAATCCTGTGCGGCCTCTTCCCTCATGCCAGGTCCTCTTGGGCTCCTGTTGCTTCTTAGGTTCAGAACCCCTGAGTATAGTGACCGTCAGTGCTCTGGGAGTCAAATAACCCTACTTCTGTGTATCCTTTCCACCTCAGTAAAATTTAGAAGTAATAGTTCTTACCTCATAGGTTTATAGAAAGAACATGCCTTTAATTATGCATTAATCCATGGAGAAGTAAGTGCTGAGTAAGTACTGGCCTTCTTCTGAGATGGCACTGTGGCCTGTGGGGTGACTGGTTCCCCAGTGAGTGACGCACTGTGACAGGTCCTGATAGATCTCCTTTGTGATTACTGAGGTGGTTGTCTTTGCTAATACTGTCAGTAGTGGAGACTTCACACCGGTAGGAACGCCAGCAGCCATGTCTAGTTAGAGCCCACCTCAGAGTTGGCTTCCTCTTAGCAGGGTAAAGATAGCCTTCCTCCGCTTTTTCTTCCCGGAAATCAAGTAAGAAACATTAACACCAAGTTTAGATACAGAGTTCTTGTTTACTGTTAGCAAACCCCACGTAGTCTGGACAGTGCAACTGGGTTTACAGCAGAAGGGGACTTGATGAATGTAGACTAGATTAGATTGTGCTAGCAGGGGCTAGTAATAATCCCCCCTAGATTAGAATGTCAGGGGCTGGGGTATAGCTCAGCAGTAGACTGACTGGAATTTTAATTCAAATGAAAATCCAGTATGATGAGCTCCAACAATCCTCCTGGGTGGTGGGCGTGTAGCAGAAAGACTGACTGAACTTTTCCTCTCTCCGCATTTCCTCAGGGAACTGTGACAGCAGACAAGAATGAGATCCTGTTCTCTGAGTTCCACATCAACTACAATGACGAGCCACAGATGTACAGGAAAGGGACAGTGTTGGTGTGGCAAAAGGTAAGGCTACATATTCACAGAAAGATGGTGGTGAGGACGTGGGAGCCCTAGTCTCCCCCAGGTTGGGTTTTGCCCACCACCCATGTCTGGGTACAGTGCTGGTTGCTAATGTGGCATCGATACTTTCCAATAGGAGACTTCTGGGAGGAACAGTTTGGATGCTCATTTTTTTCAGGGTCGCTGTAAACAGTATCACAGAATTTTAAATTAGTCCTTGTTTTCTGTGTCCTCATATCAAATAAACCCTCTTAACGGGCAAAGTATGAGCTGGAGAGATGGCCCAGCAGTTAAGAGCATTTGTTCCTTTCTAGAGCGCTCGGGTTCAGTTCCCGCCACCCACATGGTGGCTCACCATCATGTGTAACTCTAGTCCCAGGAGATTGAGTACCTCCTTCTGACCTCAGGCACAGCATGCATGTGGTATGCCTATGTACATACACAGAAGCAAAATACTCATACATATAAAGTAAAAATAAGCCAGGCATGGTGGTGTACATCTTTAATCCCAGCACACGGGAGGGAGAGACAGACAGAACTCTGAGTTTTAGGCCAGCCTGGTCTACATAATGAGTTCTAGGCCAGCCAGGGCTACATAGTAAGACTCTGTCTTAAAAAATAAAATAAAATAAATATTTTTTAAGGAGTAGACTATAGATCGGAAGAATTTTGCTTTCATAAAACATTTAAAAAAATACTCTTTCCTGTATCATTAAGTGGTCCATCCACTCCAAGACAGCCAAAGTACTGAGCACTAAGAGATACTATAAAATGGGGATGGAGGTAGCAAAAGAGACTTTGGTTTTCAGCAATTTCCTGAGATTCCCCTAGAAATTCATACTTGCCTTAGTATTCTTGGATGCCTCTATACTTAATTCCACCAATATTTTCTCTGCTCTCCGCTCATAGGCATAATTATTTCTCTAAATTGATTTCTTTTCGTGTTAGTTGTTTCTGAATGAGTACTTTCAAGATCTAAAGGTACCTGAGAGCCACCGGCCCCACTGGCAGCCTCAGCTCATTTATTAGTGTTTTCTTACATGTTTGTTCTTTGGTACATACAGCTTTGGATGCTTATGTGGGCATCTAGATGCCTTCATCTTCCATAGTCAGTGATGACTAGGAAATGAGTCCCCTTTGTTCCTAAGTCTACTGTGTTAGTGGGTGCCTCTGGAGAAACAGAACAATAGGATGAATGTAAATATAAATACGTACTCGTGTGTGTGTGTGTGTGTGTGTGTGTGTGTGTGTGTGTGTGTGTGTGTGTTATTAAATCAACTTACACAGTATAGTACAACTGCTGTCTCTCACCTAAGAGGATGAGGACCCATTAGTTACCTGGTTCTTGGGCTAGGTGTCTCAGCAGTTAGAGTTGTCCCTCAGGGCCTGTCTCACACTGGCAAGGGAGAGAACCCTGTAATTGCACAGTTCACTGGGCTGGGTGGCTCAGTAGTCCCACCCCAGCACTGAAGACCTACAAGGCTCCTGGGTTGCTGGTCCCAAGTCAGTGATGGGAGCTGGGTTTGGTACCAGAAAGTGCCGCCCACACTGAGAGTCAGGTAAAACAGTCTGGAGAATTCCTCAGTGAGTCTTCCTACGCAGATGATTCTGATTGGTGGCAAGATGACATTAATGCCAGTCATCACAGTCACTTTTCACAATACAGTAAAGTGATCTTTTTACGAGATTTGTTGTTGTTGAAAATTTTGTGTTGCCAAGGATCAACCCAGGGCCTTACATATGCTAGAGAGGAACTCTACCACAAATCTCCAGCCACAGCCTTAAAGTACTGTTTCATTCTGTCTGTTTTTGAGTCAGGGGCTCACTGTGTAGCCCTGGCTGACCTGAAACACACTGTGAAGACTGGGCTAGACTTGAACCCATAAAAATCTGTCTGCCTCTCAAGTGCTGGGATTAAAGGTGTATGCTCCATGCCAACCTAATTTGTATTTCTACTTAGAAAGAAAGATGTCTACCCTGTTGATAAAACTCTTAACAGTCAGTGGCATATTAAGTAAAAAGGTGAATTTCTCCCATAATTCTCTTTGGGTCCCTCTCCCACTCACAACACTGTCCCTACTTTTGCTCATAGGTGGATGAAGTCAAGACACAAGAAATTAGGCTGCCAGAAGAAATGGAGGGGAAAAAGATGACCATAACCCGGACCAGAACCAGGCCGCTGCCCTTGTACTGCGACCTCATTGGGGATGCTTTCTGGAAGGAACACCCGGACATTCTGGAGGAAGGGAACTGACCCAGCACCCTGCAGTTCTGCTCTGCTCACCCATGCAGGGCTCCCTGAGTCTCCCCTCCTTAGGTGGCTCGAGCATGCCTAGCCCCAAGAATACTGGAGGGAGTGACGTGGCTGGAGTTGGGTGGAGACAGAAAAAGAAGCAGTGGACGGGGCGGTGTATCTTACTGTGCTTAAGCAGAATACCTTTTTTTTTTTTAACGGTGTTAGAACATGACTTCTTTGGCTCTTTTCAAAATCATGATCCTATTTTTATAAAAGAACTATTCATGCTTTGCTGGCGGAGTCATTTTTAGCTGTGGTATAAGCCTTACAAAAACCTGTCGCCTCTTTTCACCTCTGAAAGAAGAGGAGCCCAAACTTTACCCTCACCCACCTTTCTTAACTAGAGAATGTGGTGACTGAAAAATCCCACTTCTGACAGCCAAGTACTTGCGCTCATCTTTGGCATGAAGTTAAATATGGGTTCCTGCCTGCACGATGCCTCCAGATTGAGGAATCCCAGGGAACACTTGGGGCTTTGTGCCAGTTCCTCAGGGTGGCAGCTCCAGCCGAACAAAGGAGGAGTGGTTTGGGTGCCCTGCACCGTGCCAGGGTTGATTTTTCTGCAACTGTTAGCATGATCATCATCATCTCCGACCAGGGACATAGTTTCCAATCACTTAACTCTTCTGAAGAAAAGGTATTTTGGGGAGCTATATGTGTGTGTATGAGTGAGGATGGAGAAACAGCTACTCCATGGACACCGGAAGTACTTCAGTTGGAAAAGCTGACTTTGGGTTAGACTTCTGGGCAAGCATTTTCAAATAGCCTCAATGTAGTCAGAACCGTAACATGTGAATTCAGGAGCACCAGGAGGCCTGATGCCGTGGTTTAGCCTAATCCCAGCTCTCAGGAGGTTGAGGCAGGAAGAGCAAACGTTTGAAGCCAAGCTGGACTACATGGCAAGACTGAAAAAGGCTGGAGTTGGGGTTGGGGGCGCTATTGATTTCAGAGTTGGTTTGTTTGTTTGTTTGTTTTTCCCAAGACAGGGTTTTTCTGTGTAGCCTTGGAATTTCAGAGGTTTTAAAGTAGCCCCTCCTGCTGGGTGGTGGTGGTGGTGGTGGTGGTGGTGGTGGTGGTGGTGGTGGTGGTGGTGCACACGTTTAATCCCAGCACTTGGGAGGCAGAGGCAGGCGGATCTTTGTGAGTTCGAGGCCAGCCTGGTCTCCAAAGCGAGTTCCAGGAAAGGCGCAAAGCTACACAGAGAAACCCT